AGCAGGACTTCAGGCTGGAGGATGATAGTAGATCCACCTGGCCTACAAAAACCTGTGACACTGAGCATTTTTAATCTCGCCTTGAAAAGATAATTTTAGGATTGATGCTGAGAGTTCTTCGTGTTGCCTTCTCCCCAGAAAGATGTCTGCACCCTGTCTCCTGTGCCTTGCAAGCCATGCTGGTGCTCACCGGATTTGGGGTTGCAGAGCACGGGGGGGCTGCTGCTGAGTGTTGGGCTGCTGCTGAAGTACCCACTGCTGCCACAGCTGCTCATGCTGCTCCTCCGTACTGCCGACACGATCTTTATCTCCTTGGTGGGACTCACTACAAAGAGAAAATACAGAGAGAAAGGGAACTTTTACCAATTAGTAAAACCATTCGCCTGGTTTCTTTAAAACAACAGCAATACAGCACACTTGTGCTGACAACACTGGGAACGGGTTGGTGTGTTTTACACAGTTAGAAGAGTCACTGCCTGAGAATGATGCCTGAGACCCATGTTTATTATAGCTAACACAGTGACTGAATCGTTCCCATTGCAGCATCTTCTAGGAAGCATTTCAACATAGGGAAAAAAAATTTTGCTGTTTTTCCTTCTACTTCCCATTTATTCTTCTAGTTCTTGCTAGATATTGCTGCAGAATCCCTTCCCCTCACTTTTACTCTTCTTGAAAACTCAATATTCCATGTATCACTAATTACTTTGGGCTAAGAGGGATTTTAACCAGTTCTGTTTGTTTGTGGATCAGCATCTGACATTGATACAGGCACAAAACTAACTCAGGGAGCTAAAGCTTTTGTAAACCAAGTGAATGGACAGTCCCTCTGAACAGGGCTGCACAATACCCTGCACCACTTCTTTTCAGGTAAACACTGAAAACCTTTGGCCAAAAAAAGGATTGTTTCTCATCCCATGGAGTCATTCTACAAACAGCAGTATAGTTGACGAGTAACCTGAGAGAAAACTGGTGTGTTTTCTGTTGTCATGGTTCTGCTTGCGCAGGCAAAACGGGCTGTCATGGCTTTCTGGCATCAAGCGAGATTTCTCGGTGACGAGCTCCATTAATCGCCGCCGGCGGCGGAAATTCATTCTGCACTGGTAGAGCAAGTTGCTGTCCATAAAATGGTGCTTGTTGGACACTGGGAAGGAAAAAAAATAATGGATAGAAAGTCTATGCCTGGTAGGTCTGAAATCAGAGGATACCTGTCTGCAAGGTGTGCACTGCATGTTTTGCTGTTAGGAAGCACCCGGAGCTCTCCCCTCCCCTCTGCAAACTCAGAAGAAGGAGGAAGGTGTTCAGCTTCACATGGATATCTTCAATATATTCACTTTTATACCATTGATAACAAAGTAGGAACATCAGGGGACATTGCTGAGAGGAATCTTTTACACTACCTTGATTAGAAACAATCACTTATTTTTGTCAAGTGGAAATGGAAGCACTTTATCTTTCTGTGACAGGCTACATAATGGTCCATCTCCACATGCACTCCCTCCACATGCTGTTTGGTCACTACAGTCCAGCCTCAACTGAGTGTTTTGTAAATTCACCAGTCCAGGGCAGCCCTTGGGTGCTCTGACTGACTACCTTGCTCGCAGCTACAGGACAGCAGAGGACTAAGACCTGTGTATTTCCTCTGTCTTGTTTGCCACAGACACCGTGTCTCAGACACTTCCTGCAGGACACTTCCTCCCTTTTGCACAGATGCACAAGATTTGGGAATAGGCACTTGGCCAAAAATAATTTCTTACATAATGATCACAAGTCTTAATTACAACCTGTTTTGACACTGAGAGCAAATCCCAGGTCACTGGTGCCTGAGCAAGAGCACCAAGTCTACCCACAGACTGCAGCATTGCCATAACACCCGCATGTTTGCTGCCACCGGTGCTGCATCTGAACAGTCATAAAAATGCAGCAGTTGGGCAGAACTCTGTGCCAGGTCCAGGAAAGTCCTCTGGAGCACTCCCTGCATTAGTACTGCAGCATCTTAAAGAGCTTCAGTAGATTTTTGGCTGTGTGTTTCCTCCATCTTCACCCAGCTCCCGTGATCACGTTCCACAGAGATTATTTACCACAGTCAACATTTTTGATGAAGGTTCTAGATTCTGGATTTACCTAGTTAATAAATTGCATTTATTTCAATATCAACTCATAAGAACTGGTGGGTTATAAGCATTTATTTGTAATAAAATAACCACTCAGATATGCACTCAAGAGGTCAGTCAAGTTTTTGAGTACATGACTCAGTCATTTGGCTTCAGCCTCCTACCACAGACACTGAACCTTTCCTTGCTCTTTGCTCTGCCCAGCACATGGAGTCCAAAAGCAACGGAGCCCAAGGTGTTACACCAGACCAGAGCCTGGAGACCTGTTGGCCTGCTTTCCCTTCATCCTCATCCCCAACATGATATTTCTTGTTCTCTTTCCTTCTTAATACCTCCTTGTGCCCCAGATTGCTCACCATGAGACCGACAGCAGACCACACAAGTAATAGCCTTGCAAAAAAGGCTGCATTTAGACATAAACTTCCAGTATGTTGTTTGATGTGTGTGAGCTAAAGCAATAGCCTCAAAGAGGAAAAAGCCCAACCAGCTTCTCCAGCAGCTGGTGGTCTCAGAGAGAATATTCCTGCCAGGGTTGTCAAGTAAGTTATCATTATCCAGGCAATTAATATGTGGCCAGTCTGAGCCATGATCCTCAGGGCTCAGCCCTCCATACACACATGAGACTGCCAGAGGGGGTCAGACCACAGGTCCATCTTGCAGAGAATGTCTCATGCCTATCCAGGCCACTGTCAGAGAGGCAATACTGCCTCTGTAAATGGACTTTTGCCTTTGTGACACAAAGAGCAATCATGACACAGGAGGTTTCTGAACTGCACGTGCTTGTGCCCAACCTGTCATCTGTCCCACAGTCCTGCAGTGAGCGGTAGGCTGTAGGGCATTTCTTAGAGTTTTGAAAGAAGATAGTTTTGAAACACTACCTCTTTTTTATGAGTAAAGAAGAAAGGTGATGCTAGTCAGCCAAGCTGCACGTTTCAAGTACCCTCTACAGAAAAGGGGGATTGGAGCATCTCTCTTATGAGAAAAGGCTGAAAGAGCTGGGACTCTTTAGCCTGGAGCTGAGAAGGCTGAGGGGAGACCTTATCAATGTATATAAGTATCTAAAGGGTAGGTGCAAGGAAGATAGATACAGGCTCTTCTCAGTAGTCCCCAGTGTCAGAATAGGGGGCAACAGGTACAAGTAGGAACATAGGAAGTTCCAGCTAAATATGAGGAAAAACGTCTTTACATTGAGGGTGACAGAGCACTGGAACAGGCTGCCCAGGGAGATTGTGGAGTCTCCATCTCTGGAGATACTCAAAATCTGCCTGGATATAGTACTGTGTAAAGTGCTCTAGGTTATCCTACTTCAGTGGGAGAGTTAGACTAGATGATCTCTAGAGGCCCCTTCCAACTCCAGCAATGTTGTGATTCCTGATTATGTGAAAAGAGCCCTGTGACCTAGATTGCCTGGTTCTGTTGAAGAGCTTTCCTCTGCTTCATTTTGGTGCTGAACTTGTTGTTCCTTCAAACCAGCCATATCCATTCTTCATGAGCAAAATGGCTTCAATAAGTTAAATTTAGTACTGCAAACAATTTGTGTTCTGACATGTTAAATATTGCAGGCACACACTGCTGCTGTGATCATAACTTTGGACACATCTAGTATGCAGTGCTATTAAACAATATTTTCTAATGATCACTATTTTTGAAGAATGAAAATAGAGGAGGAGAGATTTGGAGACTTGCCTGTATCTAAAAAAGTATTTGCTGTTAGAGGCAGAGTTAATATGTAGGTGTTCGCAGCCACCAGTCCCGTTTTCAGATCACTGACACAATAAGGAAAAGTGGCAATATCTAGCAATATTCTACCATATTACTAGAACAGCCTGATGCAAATACAAAAAACTTCCTTCATTTTTTTAAATCATGAAAAGTTCCCTGAAACTTCAAAAGACAAGTTCCACTAATTCAGCACACTCCTGAGATTCACAACATTCAGTGAAACAGGGCCCCACAAACACCTGGAAGAAGAATTACTGTTGCCAACCATGTGCAGTATAAAAAAGATCAGTATGTTTTCTGATTTAAGCTAAATATCATGGCACCACAGTTTTTAATTAAAACTATTCTGTTCTGTTATTGTCATTAAGTGAAGTGCTTTGACAACCTTCAGGAATTATGATAAGCAGAGATCAACACGCACTTGGGTTGTAGACATCACAAAACACTCTGAAATTCTTGATTATTACTGACCATGAAACTACATAATATAAACTTCTTTTATGCCAAGACACTGAAAATATTTTAGAACAATGAGACTTGTTTGGACAGAAATATAGTCACATTCTATATTTACAATAGCAGAACTTAGGTCTCACATTGTAATAATTCATGCCTGCTGTAAATGTTGTAGTCCATGGAAGGGTGAATTTTTATACGATAAATTAATACAAGTGGACAAGCTGGGACCAATCATTATATATTGTGGAAAATTTGTATATGATTTACACAACAAAGGATTTGTAGCCAGAATGTTTATGACAAGTAGTATTAGTACAGAATGTAGAGTGCTCATTGATTTTCACAGTTGAATTCCTTATTTCTACTGATAGTTTACATCTCATGTGGGAGTGTTAGAACAGCAGCATGTATCCTCAGCTTGCTCAAATACTGTATTTGTAGCACCACATAAATTTTTGCATATTCATTAACTAAAATGTAATATTTGTGTACATTTAAGGAGAAGCTCAAAATATAAACAGGAGTAGTCAGGTCAAACTGCCTCCTTGTATGTACACTATCAAATAAAATTTCTCACCAGAATTCTTGGTGTGCCCCATGGCACTTTTTTTCATTTGTTCATTTTGAATTAGCAGCTTTCCATGATTTGAGATGAAATGCCCATACTGGGTTTCTGCCTAAGGGTAAGTGTATATGGAATGGTTTAGAAAAAAAGTATTTCCAGACTATGGTTCAGAAGGAAGACTATGGTTCAGCCTACATGCTGGGTGAGCAGTCCTGGTGCAGGGATGGGTGCTCAGCTCAGCCGATTTAACAGTCCATGTTTTGCTGTAATCCAAGCTGATTGCAGAATGCTGAGAGGACTGCACAGGAGGGACTTTTGTAAAGGTAATTTAGAGGTTGTTACCTCGAGCTAACATGGAGTGTTGACTCGGAGGCAGCAGCAGATAAACTCCTGGTGCCCAATAAGGCTTCTGCTCCAGGTATCTGTCCCTCTCGTGGAAGTTGCTGCCTCCAGACAGGGACTGGTTTAACTACTCCTGAATTAGTTCACTGCCCTTCATAATGCAGCATAAAAAAGCAAACTGGCATCCATTTCAGTTCATGATAAATCATCAGGCTGTAGCTGACAAGGATGAGGACCTGTATTTGTACATGATGAGAGTGGTGTAAAGAGAAAGGTGGAGTGACTTCATGGTTTCTTTGTTCAAATTTAATTCACCGGTGCTCATGTAGCAACATGTTCAAATTATGAAACAGAAGGAAACTGTATCAAAGAGTAAAATACATGGTGACTGGCAACCTCGAAAATCATAAAAGTGCACAAGAGCATTTGTGGTCCTGGCAGGAAGAGCACCAACATTAATTCATAGTGACCCATGTTAAACTGTGGAGGTACAGTCACAACCCACCAGTCTAACCTCCTACACACACAGGCCACAAAATGTCTACCAGAAACAGAATTAAAAGAACATCTTTTACAAAACTACAGTTTGCTCATACTTTAAAGCAGCCTGCAGGGACCACTTCACTCTTCCCCTTACGAGCTGTTCAAACTGTCAGTTACTTTCGTTGACAGGCAATAAAAATTTATCTCAAAGCTGAATTTGTTTAACTTTAGCTGCTAATCCCTGGACTTCATCACACCTTCATCAGAAAGTGACACAAGATCTAGTCAGAAAGATTTTAAAGAAGTCTGTGAAGAGATGAAGCCAACTCTCAAACATATCTTTGATCAGCTAACTAAATAACACCCCTTAAATTCTGATTCATTTTTTTAGCCCTCCTCTAGTCCCCTTCAAACTTTCTTTATCCTTCCTTAAATCTGGCTATCAGGACTGCCCCATTC